AGAGAAAACCAACCACAGTAGCTCATACTGAGTTATAGAAATGAAATATATCTGAAGCCGGATAAACTCTTCTCCGTTCATCTCTTTTTAACTCACTTTCCTCTATGGGCACACTGTTTGCAGAACAGCGTTCCTTATTGCAAAAATATTTGGTCTTTGAGCCATGTTTATTCCTTGCCTAGATACAAAGAGTTTCCTCCAGCCCCCTCGTAGTGAATTACTAGAACGCACAACACACACACACACACACACACATGCAGCTTTCAAATTATACATTTCCAAAGGCGGTGTGTTGCAAACACTGCGCGATTTTGCAAAGCATGGGTGGGGGACGTGGGAAGGGGACGGAAGATTCCCCCGCTCGTTTGGGAATCTCCATCGCGGAGAGCATCAGTCTCTAGTCTAGAGCTTGCTGGGGAAGCTCCTCTGGGGAAGGGGCCTAGGCAGCCTCCTCTGCCCCAGACCGCAGGGAATCTGGTCAATGAAGATGTGAGGCTCTAAAAGAACACGACCCTCCAAAGCCTTCCGCTCCGGGAGGCTGCCAGGAGCTTGCAACAGGCAGAGGCAAACGGGAGTTGATGGGAGGGAGGGAGAATATAAGAAATATTGGGGTATTTTTCTGCCTGGAAAAACATCATCTGCAGCAATGCAAGGGAGGCTGGCGGTGCAGAAAAAGGTGGGGAGGGGGCGCTTAATGCACGTGTAATGTTTTGGACAAAACGTTCCAGCGAAATGCCTTTGTGTGTGGAGGTTTTTTCAGTACTTGCTAAAAATAGCATCAGGGTTTGATCGTGTTCCAGAAATAGACCGAGGGCTGCACTGGGATAAAAAGCCAGCGCGGGTGGAAGAAAACCTGGACATCACCGCAATCCCTCCCCCCAACTATGTCTGGAAATTAATTGTTGGATTTTTCCTCTCCTCTCTTCTGTCTCCTTCTCTCTGTCCACTTTCTCTTCCTTCCCCCTGTGTTTCTTTTTCTCTCTTAAGGAGTTCCCGTTCGGGTAAGTAATATTATGTCATGTGCATGCCGCAGACTGAGTACAAGCGGAGGCTTACTTTGTGCATGCCCCCAGGTCCTTTTTGGCTGCCTTTTACCCCTTTCTAAGGAGGAGGGTGGGACCGAGTGGGGTGGTGGTGTGAAGGGTGTCGTTGTGAGTGTGTGCATAATGAATTTTGGGCTGCATGCAAAGGACCTGAAAGGGGAAATTCTCGCAGAGCCGGGAATCACCCTGACGAATCTCTGAATCAATAGCTGCTGCAAGTCCCTCTGTCTTTATGGGTCGGCGCTGTTGAGCTCGATTCTCCCGACTGCCCCCTCCCCTCCCCATTTTCTCTGTCTTAAAGGATGCCCAGATACGACTCAGTGGGCTATTTCTCTGGGAGATTAATGGTAGTTACAGATTAAAATTGCATGGATGGGGCTAGGAGATAAAGGAGGTAGGATCCCTATTCCCTTGGACAAACTTCCCTGCGCGCTCCGGTCCAGGAGCCGGAGGACCGCGACCCTGGTCCCGGCTGGCCCAGGGCGAGGTAGCTGTCCACGGAAGGCAGGTGCTGATAATTCCTCGGTCCTCTGCGAGTTCAGATCCGGGCGCCAGGGGGCGGGGTTGGCGCCAGCTGCGGATAGCCCCGCCCTGGATGCAGAAGGAGGGTACGGAGAGGAGGGAGTTAAGGATGTTCAAAGGGGATAGTCGTGACTTCGGTGAGAGCTTGGGGAAAAGGAGGGGTGAGTGGGAAGGAAAGGAAAAAAATTAAAGGGGGGGGGGGAAGCCGAGTGTTAGATTCCAGGGTGAGCCGAGGCCCAGCGCTCCAGGAACCGAACGGCCGGGTGCCTCACTGGCTTTTTCCGCAGAGGCCAGACACTATCTGGGTCTCCATACCCAGGCGCCCGCACCTTCCCGCCAGTGGCTTTGAAAGATTTCTCTCCGGTGGTGGTGACTCTCAAAATAAGAGGCTATAGGTTGCTTTATTCGGACTCTCGTCCCCTCCCACTTCATGCCCCCCCCCCACATTTTGCAATTCCTGTGAGGTGTGTAAGGGTGTATCTGTGCATTATGGCATTTTTCTTATTATCCCCGCTTCGCGTCCCGGTCATAGGAGCCCTGAAGGAGTTGGTGGGGCGAATGCATTTAGAAGCCAAGATGCAGGAGTTGCTGGTACGATGCACAGAGAATTCAGGCTTGGGAACATCGCCAGGCGCTTTAAAACCCAAAGCCAAAGGATTTCTGAAAACTGGCTCTGAGGGGATCTGGGGAGAGGGGCTCTCCTAGTTAGCAAATGCTATTGGGGAGACCATCAACTCCCTGGGATTACGGGCTCGACCTAGAGTGAGGTTCATTGCAGTCAACTCCAGACAACACCTTGGCCAAACCTGTAACCAGGCAGGTGAGGAGGGAGGAAGGTTATCAGAGGCCAGGGGTGGGGATGACTATCACCCCCGCACAAAGACATTTATACTGATTGACTCCTGGTAGAGGAGCAATAAAAAGGAATCCTCAAACTGGCCGCCAGGATGGATGGAGACGGTGGGGGAAATGAGGCAATCTTGAGGACCTGCAGTAAGCTGTATACACACAGGGATATCGTCTATGTCATTAAAAAATAATAATAAACTCGGGGCGGTGAGGTAAGTATCTGAGGGGAGGCTAGTCTTCCGGTACTCTCTGCCCCCTATGCCCTATCCCAATCCAGCAACAGCCTCTCTGGCTTTAGTGACCTGCCAGGAGCAGCCCTGGGGGGTGGGCGTCCAGTTATTTTTAGCTCAGAAGCAGTCCCTCTCTGGGAAGAGTCCCTGGCTGAGACTGAGTATTCCCCAACTCATAATAGTAACAAGGGCTGTTACTTATTTGTGGAGAATAACACAACGTTGCATCACACACTTTGTCTTGACAATTTAGCTTAACCCAAAGCTGCTCCAAACCTCTCTGCCCACCCCTCACCATTCTCTTCATTCATCCTACTGGTTCCCTTTCCCAAGCCTCGCCCTAAAGTTGCGTGGTCGTGTTTACAAATTCTTCCACATTTGCACAGAAAATAGCTGGGGTTGGGAGGGGGCGGTCGGGCAGGGAGGGGTGGGACGGTTGCAACACGTGGAACGGTTGGGGACGTCCAAGTGTCATGAAGGGAGTGGGGAGGACACCCCAGGTTCTAATTTTCCCCTCCTCCCCCTCCTCCATCGCTTTACACAATGCACAAGTTTACCCCAAACTGGAACCTATTAAATAATTCAATGGTAGCGGTGTAATTTTGGTTGGAACCAGCACGGGTTCCCAAGTCGTGACTGCAAAAAGTGAGTAATGCGCGCTGGCTTCGTCATGGCTCTAGTCACAGTTCATTCCGAACTGAGAAGGAATCGTGACTTTGCCTGGAGACGTCC